GTTCAGCAGCTGCTCAGGACAGTGGAAAAGCTCTGGTGTTTTTGAATGTTTCAGCCCATTTAGACTTTCAGTCCACTGGTCTGTAATTCTCTGCTAATCTTTGTGAGGTTTCCTAGAAGGAGCCACATAGATTGATGCTAATTATCAGCAAATTAGCGTTACATTTCTGCCATAACCCAGAGTCTTCTAGTTGGTCTGAACATGTAAAAATGTGATATATCTGATGGTCTGAGGTCAGAATCTCAGAAACACTCTGTCCTGCACCTGAAAAATGGTTCTCATTTCATGTTGTCTTCCTTTTTTTCTGAGCTGATAAACCAAACAGCAAGTGAAGAATAAACATCCTTTTACAGTCACTCTGGCTAAACCAGCTGTGTGTAACGCCACCGCAGCCCAGAAGCACGCAGGGGTGAACAACAGGGAGTTTAGTGCTGACCATCTGTGTGAACCTGAAGCTGCTCTGACTGAACATTTAGCTCCATCCCTCACATCTGTTTGGTTTCCTCTTCATCTCTCCTTGTCTGTTGCAGCTGTGTGCATGTACATGGAACATTAGACTCTGTGCACTCCCACACACACACATCTACTGAATGTCAACAGATATTAAAAAAAATGCATAAACACCAGAGTGCAACACTGACTCTGTATGAACAACCATCTGGTTTATGGGTCTGTCCACAGGAAACCAACTGTTTGTTTCTAATTTTAGATGTTCTCATCCAAAATAAGTCTTTTAATATGATTTGAAGAACTTCCCAAATTTAGCTGTAATATTAATATGCCATCAATTATAAACTGTTAGCTTTAGTAACAGTTAATAACATGATCATAACTAGAATCACTGTAATGAATTAATCTGACTGGCTCCTTTCATGTAGGAAAACTTTGACTGAGCATGTTCCTGCATCCCTGACACATCCAGAGGCTTTTCTTTTTTTACAAGAAAATACCCACAGTTCAATGCATGTGTACTGACCGCATCAGGAGCAACAGTGTGCAAGTTGTAATATGCACCCACCTCATCCAGCAGAGCCGATTGGCTCGGGCTTCTGACCACACAGTCATGGGAGAGAGAGGAGGGCGGGCCAAAAATGTGTGTGTGTGTGTGTGTGAGCCTCTTTTAGTCCTCACCTCCATGATAATAAAATAATAATAATAATAAAGCTTTATTTATATAGCACTTTACAACTCCAGGGAACACAAAGTGCTGCACAATATGTATCAACTAAAAAACAATACTAGAACAATAAAACCTAAGCAAGAATAAAACACAAATTTCCAAAATCGGAGCAAGAAAAACTTCCATCAAGATACAAATAGCATAAAGCAACAAGTTAAACCATTTCCCTTTGGGGCAAATAAAACGGATTAAACACCAAAGGCCTGTTTAAAAAGGTGCGTTTTTAAAGTTGACTTAAAAACCGCTAGCTCGGTTATGGACCGAAGCGGTAAAGAATTCCAGAGTCTAGGGCCATACGCAGCAAAAGAGCGGTCGCCCCATTTTTTATATCAAGACCGTGGGATGATGGGAACTTTTGCATAATCAGTAACATTAATTAGATGTAAAGTAAGTCACAATAACCATAGTAGCACTGGGCCACATCCACCAACCCTTCTTAAGGACAGATTTATTTGAAAAACTCAATTATGAAGTTAGCATGAAGATTCTGGAATTCCCCCGGTGTTTTCTTACCTGGGGGCTTTTCATAAATAAGAACAACACTTTATTTGGCCAAGTATGTTGCACACATAAGGAATTTGTTTCCGGTCCAGAACCGAGGCGGCCATCTGTGGCGCCAACTCACACCGATCGGGGGCAACTTGGGTTCAGTGTCTTGCCCAAGGACATATTGACATGTGGACCACAGGCACCGTGATTCAAACCTCCAATCCTCTGGTTGGGAGACGGCTTCTCTAACCACTGAACCATGGTCATAGACATAGAAGAACTTCATAGTGAAGTGGAAACAAAGAAAACAAAAGGTTTAAAAAAGATTTATATCAGTGACAGAAATTGTTGTTTGAACTTACTACAAGAGAACTGAACTAGTTCAAGTTCTGGTCACTCAAATAGAAGGTAATAGATCAGATCAGGGGTCCCACATAGAAAAAGGTTGACGTCAAATCTGTGGTAAAATCACAAGAATGACCAGGATTCAGCAGAAAGTGAGACCAGTCAGATTTCATGGTGATTCTGTTTGAAATAGCCCAGTCTTTGTCTCGGCTCTGTCTCACACACACACACACACTCACGCTCACACTCACTCATCATCATCAAGGTGTGTGTTTCACTTGCAGGGCCTCATTCCTCACATTCAGATTCCGGTGCTCATTACATTAACCGGATGTCTTAAAATTTTTCAGACATCAAATAAATCATCATAAATAGTCTCTGATCACTCTCCTCCCATTAGTGCTCGCCATCTTTCAGTATCAATCAGTTATCAGCCATTGATCCTCTCATACAGTCCTGAGTTGTCCTGCTAGACGTGCCTCTGACTGCTCCTGTTTTCTGCAGGCGGTCGCTTCAAGAAGGAGATTGTGGTGGACGGTCAGAGTCACCTGCTGCTCATCAGAGATGAAGGAGGCCCCCCAGATGCTCAGGTGAGTACTGCACCAAACCAGCTCACCCTAGTGTACAGTAAGAACCTTCACCTCAAAGACTGACTGCAAATGTTAAAGGCTCACCTCTCCTTCCATCCCTCCCTCTGTCTCTGTTTGCATCATTTTATCTTCTTAAAAGATCAGTCTGGTGTTATTCTGTATTTTCTAATTGGTAGCAAAACCCATGAAAAGACCCCAAAATAAAATGGTAGTCTGTCTTTAGGTGCTTTCTGTCTTCTCTACTCTGTCTGCAGCTCTCAGTCCTACTGTTAATCTCTAAAAACGCCTCACACATGTGTAGGTTAAACAGGAGGGAGCACTGCATATGTAGGGGACCGTTTCCTCTGGGGGAAATGTAAACAAAGCCGTGTCTCCCCCCCATATCTCTGCAGTTTGCGCTGTGGGTTGATGCCGTGATCTTCGTCTTCAGTCTGGAGGATGAGATCAGCTTCCAGACGGTTTATCACTACTTCAGCCGCCTCTCCAGTTTCAGGAGCACCACTGAGCTGCCGCTGGTCCTGGTTGGCACACAAGGTACCACACATGCACACACTGCAAACCTTGTTTTTCTAAGGTGTGGCTGCCATCTAGTGGTGAGTCATCATGACTACAGCTTCAGTGATGTCTAAAGAAACCATCCCGGCTCTTCTTCTCCTAAGATATGAGTGATATTTGCTGTTTCTTTGTTTTATATCACTGCTGCTGGGGTTTGAACTGTTGGTCAGACAATTTAAACAATAAGAAGACCATTGAAATGTACATTTTTCACTAGTTCCTGACATTTTATAAGCCAAACAGTTCAAGAAATTCAGTGGCAGATTCACCGATAGTGAAACCTGTAGTTGCATTTGTAATTTAAATTATATTTTAGATGTGCATTAACCTCACAGGTCATTTTTTTACCATGCTGTAATTTCAGTGTCTTGTAAAGCGCTTTGAACCGCATTTGCTTCATTTGACACAGTAAATAAAGTTGTATTGACTGATTAATATTCCCGATTCATTTGGGGCCACTCTGAACAGCCCTTTAGTGGACACTAAAGGGTCGCCGACTGCAGATATGAAATGAATCGGTAGTTGTTCTGACTTAGTTTGTACGGTCTGATACCTAGACCCCTTTCAAGATTAATCAAGTGTCTGTTTGTGCCTCTGTTAGCACAAACTAACCAGCAGAGGGCAGCAAAGTATCAGTAGACGATACCAGAAAAATAAAGGAAAAGTTTGACCAAAAATGGAAGATTGACTCATAAAACTAACCCAGGACCTTTTGGTCTTGGAGGTTTAAGCAGAAACATGTGTCCTGAAATTTAGATATGAAACTGCTTTTCTACATCTGTAACTCGGGAAAATCTCAATCCTCTTTATAAATGTGTGAACTACTTTCAGCGTTTTGTCCTTTTCCCTTAAGATGCCATCAGCTCGGCCAACCCCAGAGTGATCGATGACACCCGAGCCAGGAAGCTCTCCAACGACCTCAAACGCTGCACCTACTATGAAACCTGTGCCACCTACGGCCTCAACGTGGAGCGAGTCTTCCAGGACGGTAAGGACCACCTCTTTATTTCGTGTCCAGCATCACTTGTGGTCAGGAAAGCAGAGGCCAGTCCCCTAGAAAGGGGACATTCCCCCTGACAGCCCGTCCAGATTCATTCAGCCTCTTTTTATCACATAGCAGTTAGAAATTAAATGAACCTGCTCAGTGTTTTAGCTCAGACTGAACAAGATTTGGATTCAGAAGAAATTCCTAGTGAAGATTATCTGATTATTCTGCTGTGGATCCCAAAAGGGCCTGATTCGTTTATGAGGAACTACACAGAACTGAGGCTTTTCTGACATCTCTCTGAAATTATTTATCTTGTCCAGAAACTTTTGACTCAGCCCATCTGATAGATTGGGGAAAAATTTTTCTGACAAATCTTATGATTGTAGTTTTGATTATTTTCTGTAAATTAAAGTCCAAGTCTTTATTTGCACGGTGCATTGTGTGTGATGAACGAACATGCCAGTGTGTGGTCACTGATGAGATTTATTAGTGTCTGGACACAGTGGAGCTGTGTGGCACAGAGGACGAGGCTGTGATGCACGCACAGGACATGGTGGTTGGAGACAGTCACTGCTGGTTCCAGCCTGCACATGGAAAAAAATGAAAACATTGTGGAAGCATTCAGACTTAATTTCTCAGCTGTCATAGCTGAGTTTGACCTGAAGGGGGCAGTGCAGGAGCAGAAGCTCAGGCGGCTTCATGTGGAGCTACAGAGACTCAGCAGGGGATGTGATTGTTTCCTGTTTGCTGATCAGTTTTTACCAAATATCTGTGATGAATCACCTGGTTGTAAGAGAAGAAGAGCAAACAGTTCAGCTCAGTGTTTGGCAGTGGATCGTGTGTGTGTTTCTCTGCTCTCAGGAGGAAGCTCTCTGCACTAAACGCTCCCTCATTATCCTCTTAATTATTCGAGTGCATGTGTGTGTGTGTTTTATTGTCTCTGACACTGTCTCCTTGTGTTTTTCTCATCATTATCCCAAATTAATCAGTTTTTTAATCACCCAGCATAACGACGAGTTTAATGTTTTCTGTTGATGCCAGAAGCATGACAGTAGCCTGCAGTGCTGTGTCTGTGTGTGTGTGTGTGTGTGTGTGTGTGTGTGTGTGTGTGTGTGTGTGTGTGCATGCATTTTCAAGTTTCTTCCTTAAGGTCTTGTGTTTTGTTTTTGTTTGCCCTCATGTTGTGTGAATGCCGGTGTTTTTCATGTGCATGACAATGTGCATTAGTGTGCATGATATTGTGTATCTGTTGTGTGCGTGAGTGTGCGTCTGTTCGTGTCTGTTTAATTCTTTCACTCTCACTCAGACTTGTTCCTCTTGCTCCCAAACACTGATTTAAATTACATTTGCAAACATGTTTGTCGATTGCAAATAGAATCACAATTTATGAACACACTGGAATGTGTGTGTGTGTGTGTGTGTATTGATCTCACATCATATTTCTGTGACCTTCGTTTCATCTGGAGTCTGGATTGATTGTGGCGGGTCGGCCGGCAGGGGTGGGGCCTTAATTGCAGTGCTCATATTCAGCTTCATAGTCATCTGGATGGCCACAGCGACAAGCAGAGGCTCCCGATGAGGAAACGCTGACTCGCACTAATTTGACATGATTGCTTGCTGTGTGTGTGTGTGTGTGTTACAATAGAGCAACTGTAGTGAGCGTCGTAATTGTAATAAAGATTGTGATGAGTGAGAGAGGGGATGAAATTTGCATGACTGACCACAACATTTAACGTTAAAAATAATTGGCCTGCTCGTCATTGCAATCGTTTTTGTGTTTCAGGGGATGACAGGTGAGGAAGAGGAGGGGGAAGAGGGGTGTGCCAGTGATGTGAAGAGACTTTCATAATTTAGGGCTGAAGACATTGATTTATTTTTTAGATGAACTAATTGTTTGGGCCACGTAATGTCAGAAAATGGTGACAAATGTCACCAGAGTGGCTTAGAGAGAAAGGTAATCAGTTTACTGTCATAGAAAACCAAACAATATTCACATTTAGCAACCTGAAGCCAAAAAAATGACTTCTCTCTGGCTTATGGCTTATCTCTTGCAGAGAAAACTCTCAGGAATAACACAATCAGAGGAAATCAGGGGCAGAAGGTTGAATGTGATTTTATCTTTGAGTAAATGTCTTTGTTTTGGGCTGTGACTCGTGTTTGTGTATTTAACATCAAATTTGCTGTAATGGGAAGCGAAGCCTCATCCAGTTGGGGGGTGGAGTGACCTCTGTGTCCGGGATGGAGGGTGGAGGAGGGAGAACGGAGGGTGACGATGCTGTGCTCCCTCGTCCATCAGCGCGCTAATTTAATTAGCCTAATTACAGTGACATGAACCCAACACACAAACACACTGCTCCTCTTCGTCTTCTTATTTCTAATCCATGTCAGAGCGTCGACGCTTCGTTAACACACGTTAACAGTCTGAGATGTACACACACTCTCACACAGTCACTCGTTAACGTTCATCTAGCTGTACACACACACAAAGAATCACAGATGTGAAACATGCTCATACAGACGTAAACACACACACACACACACACACACACAACGAAACACTCGTAAAACACAAGAGCATGTACACTGGTGTTCGAGCACAGGACACATATCAGCTACAGGAAGACATAAGGAATGTGCCTGATATTTATATTGTGGTGTATCTGTGTCAGGTTGAGGCAAAGACAGACATGGAATCATTTGGAGCTGTGTAATCCAACAGTAAGTTCATTTACTCAAGTACAGTTTAAAGGAACCTGTACTTTACTTGAGTATTTCCATGTTCTGCTACTTCATACTGTGACGAGCACGTCTACAGCTGTGTGCAGCTTCAGCAGTTGAGCTTCACTCCCTCCCTCTCTGTGTCTCAGCCGGTGGTGCAGCCCCGTCATAAATCTGATCAAAGGGGAGATGTTTCCATTAGAAGTAATGGCAGCTTCTCACAGCAGAACTGAGATTGATGGATAAAGTTAAATGTGCAGTTTAAATATTTAGCACAGCCTTATCATAACTGTTCTTAACACTGCAGGCAATAAACCAGGTAGAGGACGGACGCGCCGTCATGTATGCGAGTGCCTCCATCCTATTGGGCAGCTCGCAGCCGCAGTCCAGTATTAGCCGCCACTGTTGATGTGTGTGGTGATGTGTTTGAGGAGTGTGGTGATGGAGCGGAGGCAGGAGATGTTAAGATCTCACCGACTCCATATTCTGGTTCAGTAAACACAGGCCTGTTTCATGTGCTCACACATGAAGCTATTGTTTTAATTGGGCTCGTTAAAACCTCTGGCTTCATTAATGAGGAGCTAGTCGTAAACATTTACCTGCAGTTGACACAGTGCTGAACCAAGGGCAGCGAAGACGGAGAGAGGAATCTCTGAGATGTTTTAAACAAACAGGAGAACAGGTAAAGATGAGCTCGGTAGACGCTGAGGTAGGATACTCAAACCTGTGGTGGATGTACAGACAGAGGTTTTTCCTGATACAGAGTACTTTAAAACAAAGACAACACGTTGTGTACTGCAAAGACCTCTGAGACCATCTGAGGCTAAAACCAGGTCTGGAACTCCCTCAGTCCCAATAAGTCTGAGCTCAGCTGCCCCCGTCCTCCTCGTCCTGCTGGAGACCTGCGGACGCCCACGAACACACACAGCCATCCATCAGCTGCAGCAATTATTCTCCCATTATTAGATTGAAGGGGAGGATGGAGACGGTCCGATCAGTGAGACACACACACATGCACACAAACAAACCTCCACCGCCATTAGAAACAGCCAATCAGAGCAGAGGATGCTGGGTATTGATGAACCTTCCCTGGGTTTTCATCCCGAGTTCAACTCTGATAAAAGCAACAAAACCGTCAGAGGAAATTATGTTTAGAGACTCCACAAGTGCCATCAGGGAAATATGTAGAATAAACTCTATTAAAGAAATAGCATTTGAGAATTAAAAGAAAGTTTATATGCAAACTTCAGCTGTTCCTGGGTTCTCTTGTTGCCCACTTAAGGGCCGGTCATGTGTTCACTACACTGCATTTTCATATTTCATGAGTCCTTGGACTCACTGTGTGTTGCATTATAATTCTGACAGATGGATGTGTTTGTGCGTTTCGTGTTACAGTTGCCCAGAAGATCGTAGCCACCAAGAAGAAGCAGCAGTTGTCCATCGGACCGTGCAAGTCTCTCCCCAACTCGCCGAGTCACTCATCTGTCTGCTCCACACAGGTGTCAGCCGTCCACATCAGCCAGGTGTGAGCACCACACTCACACAAAGCTCTTATTAACTTTACTTGGGTCGACTGTTTAAAAGCTGTTAACAGAACGCTTTTGGAGTTTTCATTTTTAACACCATTTAAATTCTACTAGGCATAGTTTTTTTTTTTTTGCCAAAGTACTGATAAAACAATTAGATATTTTTGCACAACATGCGTGTGTAAGTTTGATTTGCAATAATACTTAACTTTTCCTGACTTCATTCATACATTTAACAATTTTTAATAAATATGTTCATCAGTAAAAGTTAATTGTCATGTCAGGAAGTGTTGCAGTTTAGAGAAATGATCTAACCTTTAATTAAACAGTTTAATGAAATGCAGCTGTTGTTTTCCATTCACCTGTCAACTGTGTTCAGCTTAAAACGTTTAGGGAAATTCGAGAAGTTTGCTGTGGCTTTAATTATGTCTCCAACATGTGGATTCAGAGACACTACTGTTGGTATGTGTCATACAGACACAAGCCTCCCCAAAACAGGAACAGTATTGTGTATGCCCAGAGTTTTGTCTATTTTAAGTGATTTCCTTAAAAATCTGCAGAATATTTATGTCGCAGACTTAAATATGTTCTGACATGTAGATATCAGACTTTAGTCTAACTTCCCCTCGTGATGCAGTAAAGAACTTTTAGGTCCATTTAGTCACAGTTCTGGTTCTCTCACATGACCTTCATCAACCGGAACGGGCCTCATTAAGGACAAAGAGTTCCTAAAGAGCTCAGAAAAATAGAAATATGTGCAAACCTGTGCCATGGACGAATAGACTTTCTGGTGACATTTAGTATCATCCCTGAGCTTTCAGCTGTGACTCATGACCTTCAACAAACAAGCTGCGGCTGATAAGGCTGTGAGATACAGTTGAAAGCTCAGGACTGAGTTAGGATTTCTGTGTGTCCCAGGGTGAGAATGAATATTTCACTTTGTTGTGACTTTCTGAATGTTTGTTAATTCTACATGTCGACAGCTTAGTGGTGCAGTGGTTAGCACTGTCACCTCAGAGCAAGGCTCGGTTTACCGGGGCCTTTCTTTGTGGAGTTTGCATGTTCTCCCCATGTCTGCCTGGGTTTTCTCTGCTACTTCCTCCCACAGTCCAAACACATGCTGGTTAGGTTGCCTCCCTGTGCTACTGGAGCTTCAGGCTGTTCGATTGTTACGCTTCAATCCTTCATTGATTTCTCATTAAAAAGCCATCGCTCAACATGTCTGAGCAGCGCCGCCGCGTCCCCTGAGAGCCGTGTTTATCTTCCCGCTGCCTCTACCACACAGCCCTTGGTGCATCTTTAGCTCTCTCTGATTAGTGTCGAGTGTTCGACGCCTCAGCCTGAACTCAGGAGACACATTACACTGATGCGTAATACCAGCATGTTAGAACTGCTGCAGAGGTTTGTACATACACAGACAAATAAAAGGATTTGTTCCAGAATGATCCCTCAACCCTGACAGGCCGCATTTGTAAATGACAGATTCAAATATAGGTGAAACCTTTTTGCAGTAATCTTTTACAGAATGTCACCATGTTTTGTAGTGAAAGAGAAGTTTCTCTGTAAAAAAAAAAAAAAGTGAAAATGAGGAAGGTTGTAGATGAAGAAAAACCCGCAGCTAGAATAAAAGTAAAAACACTAGAATATTTTAGGATCCTTTTCTTTGGTTCTGTACTTCCAGACGAGTATCTGCGGTGGCAGTCTGAGTGACTACTCATCATCTGTGCCGTCCACGCCCAGCACCAGCCAGAAGGAGCTCCGCATCGACATACCACAGACCACCAACACACCAACGCCTGTCCGCAAGCAGTCCAAACGGCGCTCCAACCTCTTCACCGTGAGTACCGCTCCAAAACGCACACACACAAAGAGACGCTTATGTCAGTTTGGGATTGAATATGAGTTAAAAACAAGACATTTGAAGATGTCGCCCAGAACCTCATTGGCACTTTGTCAACAAAACCACTAGTTGATTAATTAAGAAAATGTTCAGCAGATTAATAATAGTGACCTGTGTAAAGACATGGAGGTTTTTTATAATGATGTGCGTGAGACGTTTGACAGTGTTGACCCGGCGTATTGCATTAAATGGATAAACATTTGTCTGGAGCAGGGATGATTGTCATCAAATCATCAGCCATGTTGAAGCCAAACTTTAAAATAATGGTTACGGTTCTGTCTGGCCCACAGTCGAGGAAGGCGAGCGATTCGGACAAGGACAAGAAAGGCCTGGAGGCTCGAGAGCGGGCGGGCCATCCCCATTAAACAGGTGAGTCAGAGACTTCATATCTGTTCTGTCTCTCTCTGTCTGTTTGATGCCTCGGCCTTGATTAACAGTGAAATCACACGCCTGACATCAATTAGAGCGAGAGGCTCTCCTGGGTCCTCCAACCAGATCATTAGGCGAAGGAGCAGGAAGGGATTTCACTGTCACTCCCTCCATCAGTCTTTTCTTTTCTCCGCATCCTCCCTTTCCTCTGTTCATCCACTTCATCTCCCGCTTCTTGTCCCTTTCAAACCCACCTCCTTTCCTCTCGGCTTTCTTCTTGAGCTCTTTGATTGGAGCATTGCAGGGGCTCCCCCATGTTGGAGCAGCAGTGGAGGGTGAGGCGGTGGCGGGGGCCTCTCGACAAACAAATCAGGCAATTAGCGAGTGCTAATCACAGTCTATCGTGTCATCACCGCAACTTCGTTTGTAATCTCCTAATGAATAAATCACATCTCTGATTAGGGGCCGCCTCACCAGGACAGAGCAGGCGAATGAGTGAAAATCCCTCTCCAGCTCCCAGCAGCTTCAAACACACCCACACGTCTTCTTCTGTGGTGTTAATGCATCACATGGAGTGAGGCTATTCGGTCTTAATTCAGTTTGAATGCAGGTTCAGGAAAGTAGAGCTGGGTCATGCAACACTCTGGATGATGTTCTGTGTCTTATGCAGTAACTCTGTTAGACTGCAGCAATAAGCTGATGTAGCTGCCGTGAGTCGGGCTAAAACACACGCTGTTGGAAATGTAAAAACAAGTGAGCGTGAGGAGAGTCAGGCAGGAGCACGTGACAATATCTGTTGCACATTATTCAGGCAACAGGAAACAAAACACACCTTTTCCACCATTTGAGAATGTTACCAGATCACCACACTCCATTTTACAGAAGCTCTGTGCTCCCAAACTGCAGCACTAACTTTAACCCTCTCAAGGTAACGTTAGTTCAAACCCCAGCAGCAGGAGCACCTGGTGCCTTTTCACTCATGACTTGATATGATGAGAAGCAGCGACACAGTGAGTGCAGTTTCATATTTTATAGTGAAAGACATAACAAACAGTGGACACAGTCCCAGGTTGCAGTGAAACTTTCCCTCCACTACTGACGGCTACAGATGGAGCCTCACCTGAGCCGAAGTAGCGTCAGTGTTGGCTGCAGACAGTGTCGGGTTACTGATTCAGAAATAAATGTTCAGAACCTAAACAAAGTTGTGATTTATGTCAGACTGAGTTGTTCCCTGAATACACCCCTTCAAATTCAAATCTGTGGTGATGGGGACAAATAAACACCTGTAGCCATGGTAACTGTTCTCAACAAAGATGCCAATGGTTGTAGCCTCACAGTAGTTAGAAGGTACAGTGGTACAAAATGCAGAATAAAATTACAAAAACCAGACTAAAGCTAACAAAAGTTGGCTCAAAGTCTAGCCTGTTGCTCCTGTGGAGTGTTTCAGGGGACCTGGAGCTGATCCCAGCCGACTCTGGGCGAGAGGTGGGTTTCACCTGCACAGGTAATAATAGTAATAATAATAATAATTTATTTGTTTATATAGCACTTTACAACACCGAAAGAAACTCAAAGTGCTTCACAATAAAACAGAGATAAAACAGAGCATGCCAAAATACATAAACAAAAGAAAAGTTAACATTGCACAAATTTAAAACAACGATCTATAAGAACTATAACAGGAAGGCCTGTAGGCCACGTATAGCATCGCTGCTAAATATTAAGTGCCAAAAGCTCATCTGAATAAATGTCCCTTTAATTTAGACTTAAAAACCATTAACTCCGTTATAGATCGAACCTCAGGGGGCAGGGCATTACAGAGCTTGGGGGCATATACGGTGAAAGAACGATCTCCCCACTTTTTATACCTTGCCTGCGGGACAACCAGAGACACGCTCAGAGGAACACAGCGCTCTGACTGGGATATAAATTGTTAAAAGATCGGTCAAATACACTGGCGCAAGACCATTAATGGCCTTGAACACAAACATCAAAAATGAAAGTAAATCTATTCTGAACTGTACCGGAAGCCAGTGAAGGGACTGAAGAACCGGGGTGATGTAAGTATTCTTTGGAGTGTTTGACAGTAGGTGAGCAGCTGCGTTCTGTATGAGTTGGAGCCTATGGAGTTGAGACTGACTAATTCCAGTATAAAGGGCGTTGCAGTAGTCAAGTCATGAGCTAATGAAAGCATGAATGGCTTTTTCTAGGTCGACTCAAGATAAAAATGGTTTCACCTGTGCTGGGAGCCTCAGCTGAAAGAAGCTTGTTTTGACCACCGAACTAATCTGCTTGTGAAATTTGAGGCTGCTATCGAATAACACTCATAGGTTTTTCACAGTTTGAGTGAATAAATAAATGAAGGAAGTTCTGTGCGAACCACTCTTTAATATATCACTCTGCATCAACATCAAGTAAGTCTGCACACCATCAGCATAAAAATGGAAACGAATGTTAGAAATAATTGAGCCTAATGGTAACATATATATAATGAGAAAAGAATAGGTGGCTGGTCTGTCACAGGGCTGAGACACAGAGGCGTCTCACTCGCGCTCTAACAAAAATTAAGAATAAATTAATATACACTGTTGTCAGAGACTAAAATAAAATGAAAATCAGGTGCCAAACTGAACACACTGCACCTCATGTCCTAAATTACTGAGCATAGAAAGTTGGTTGTTACAAATCAGTGTTCATTGTCTTAAATCTGCTCACCAGAATCACTGCTTAGCTTTTTAAGTCAGCTGATCAAATCCATGCTAATGGAGCCAGACACATACTCATCCTGGTATTCCACCGCATGGCAGCCCCCCTCCCCTCCAGGAGGCAGAGCACCGAGCTTCCTCCCGCTATAGCTTTTGGAAGTGGATGTTAATTGATTTGATGGGTCCCTGTGGTCGCGCTCGCCTCGTCTCCCCGCCTGCTCCTCAGTGTCAACGACGGGCTCGACACACCGCAGACCTGCTCCCTAATTAGACTCTGTGTGTGCGTCTTGTTCAGACTGTAGGTGTGGTGGAGGAGACTGCACTTCACATTCAGGGTTCAGCTGCCTTTCCCCCATTAACGCTCTATTTTCACTCCATTTTACTTTGTGTGTGTCCTCCCATTAGCACCGCGCTCACACCGGTGCTTTTAATGAGACAGCGCTAGCACTGTGTCTCTGTTGCCTTTTTGTCTCTCAACATGAACTCAACCAGACATTTTTAACATAGAGTAACACATCAGACGAAGCACAGGATCAACCGGTCAGCTCCGTCTTCATCTCCTGTGTGTTTGTGTTGCACTGCTTTTTGTTGCACAGATGTTACAGATAATGTGTCCACGTCCTCTGCAGGGGCTTCATGGTGTAGAGCCATTAAATGAAATATTAGACAAATGTGGACCAACAAGTTCAGAGAAATATCTTAATTTTTTTCCTGACAAATTTTGCAATTTTTGATTGTGAACTTGTAAAGTATCCTGGACAAAGAGGCGTTTAGTCATATTTTCCTTCTGAGTATTGTCTAACACTGATAGAGTGTAATAAAACTGTGATTAGTCGGTGAATCCATTAGTTGATTGACAGAAAATTGATTGGCAACATTGCTGACAGTTGATCTTTTCAGTTAAAAATGCCAAACATTTTCTGATTTCAGTTTGTGTCATGACAGGATTTGCTGCATTCCACTGTTGTGTATGACAGATATTTGGATATTGTTGGTCAGACAGAGGACACACACTGAAGACATCACTGAGACATGACACTGACCTTTTAAAAATACTTTAGAGATAATCAGGATAATCACCTTTATTGGCCAAGTATGTTACACACAAGGAATTTGTTTCTGGTACAGAACCAAGGCAGCCATCTGCGGCACCACCTCAACCGATGGCTCTAACCATCGGGGGCAACTTGGGGGTTCAGTATCTTGCCCAAGGACACTTGGACACGTGGACTGCAGGCACCAAGATTCAAACCTCCAACTCTCCGGTTGGGAGACGAATGATGACTGAGTCATCAAGGAAATAATCTTAAAACAGTCATTATTTGCAGCCATAAAACATAGATATTACTTTTTCACTCAAACTCTTTGTGCACTTCTATCAGTTTTGAGGGATTTTTCAAAATAATAGCAGAAATAGCGCCATGACACAAAACGGTAGTAATGTCAGTTACAGTCAGCCATAAAAATCCTAACAAACTATAAACTGTTCTCAGACCGGTACTCAATAAAACACTGTATAAGTTTAGGAGACTGGAGACTCTTTCTAATCATGGATTGCACAGTGAAGTGACAGTTCTTCACTTTGCGTCTGCAGGCTCATTATCATTAACTGACCCCACTGATTACCACCATGCCTCCGATGAAGGCAGTGGCTGGGACCATGACCTAACAGAGTCTGACATCTGCCAGAGAAATTAGTGGCGTCAGTGCTACAGCTTTGCCTTGTGTTTTTAAAATACTGCTGTGAGCTTCCAGTTGGATTTAACCCCAGTACATGTACACGTCCTGTTTCCAACAGAGAGTTTAATGCTTCTCTTACGTAGCTGTAAAATCAGAAGATCAACAGTGGTGCAAGAAGTACTCAGACCCTTTACTTAAGTAAGAGTAGAAATACCAGTGTAAAAATACAGTCAACTAGCAACTAACAGTCCTACTTTTAAAATTCTACTCAAGTAAAAGTACAAAAGTATTAGCACCAAAACATACTTGAAGTATCCAAAAGTACCAGTACTCATCCTGCAGAACAGTCCATGTCACATTAATGTCTCTGATACTGGATCATAGTGACTGATACATTACTGTTCATCACTTTAATGCTGCAGCTGGTAAAGGTGGAGCTGATGGTAACTACCTTATATACTTATACTGTGAAGTACTTTACGTCCTGCTGGGTAGCTGGTGGATTTCCCATCGAGATCAATAAAGTCTGATGATTCTACTGTTTGGTTTGATTCATCTGATTCTGAAAAGGAACTGAAGTTATCAGATATATGTAGTGCAGTAAAGAGTACACAG